TGAACCAAGTGTGTACATTTAGCTTTATTGATTAATTATTGTCAACATCTAGAGTCGGTGCAGTAACAGCTGTCCTTAGAAAAATGTTTGATGTATATCATTATTTACATAAATTTTTATAGATTGATGATGTTTTAAAAAGAAAATAAGGATTTTTTTTTATAATTTGGTTACTAAGGTTTTGATCCAATCAAATCTCGTCATATCATCTGTTAGTAAACTAATCTGTAAGTTGTGATATACATGTAGCACAACTACCTTCCTTATTGTATACAAGTTGTACAAATGTATATTTTTAAAAATTTGACTATTAGGCAATTTGTTATCAAACGACCTCTTCGACAATGATACTAATCATTATTTATTTAGTCGGCATCGACCAATGACTGAAGTGAAATATTGACACCACGATTGTATCGACCCAAACCTATAATCTAATTAGGCCATTGAAAGTAGCTTAATTATTATTTAACCTAAAAGCTCACTATATTTGTATATATGCGACTCCCCTTTTTGGCTTGTGGTGTGTGTGAAAGTGAGTTTTTTTGCTGCCCCTTTCTTGAGTGAAAAAGGGCTGCCTTTTTGCTGGGTGCTTCTGCGTTCTGTGCTTCCACGTTCTGTGTATTTGTGTTCTCTTTCGATTTTTCATTCTCCTTAGCCTTTGTGGCTATAAAATATCACTTCATACATTGTCCTTTGTGGGCATATACCAAGCAATCGGGATTGTAGGTTGGTTTTGGGTGTTGGAACTTCGTGGTGTCAATTCGGTATTCATATAAAATACTGAGCCGGAAAATCTTGGAGTCAAGTTTATCTCGACATTGGCATTTAAATTAATTGCGAATTACGCAGAAAAGCTTATGCATTTTTTATTATAATAATCTTGCTATTTTCAGCAGCAACACTAATAATGGAAGCTGCCCATCTCTCTCAAACAGTGTGTGTATATTTTTATACACTTTAAACAGAGCATTTACATGTGTTGTAGGGAATTATTGAGAGCAATTACTCAGGGCCCAAATCCACTCCACCAGGCCCAAGTGAGGTTCCATCCCAAAACCAATTGGTAATGGGTGGAGTAGCCCACTTGAGTTATATGGTGAATTTATTTTCTTCCCACAACCAATGTGGGACTTGT